TACAAAAAACAATGTTAGCCAGACACTTATCAGAAGATGGTTGGTTTGATAATTATAAAAAACTTATTGCCCCAACTGAATTTTGTTTCCTCCAAAACAGCGCTAAAAATACTGACTCAACTTACAAAATATTAAATCGACCATTATGCTATCCAGATTCAATCTTCTACTCAAATTTGGTTCACCTTTAGGGGAGAAACCTTCCATTTTTCGTCCCGTTAAACAGATTGAATAAAGTTTCTTCCGAATGGTCCAAATGTACCTTTCGTAATGGTATTCGCTCCCAAAACTCCTTCAAAGATCTTTCAAATATTTTGTTCAAATAAATATTAAAACCGAGTGGGAAAGCTGGTTGATATTCGTTGTTTGAACTGTTTTGATTTCTCCTCAGTCTGATATATTCTCGACCTCCTTGCACAGTTTGGGACCAGGACAGATTTGGAAAATTCGAATTATACTACTACTCTCCTTTTCACTTTCAAGTGATGATGAAAATGCTGAGAAATTAAACTGTTAGGATTGTGGAAGACAACACTTCATAGTTTTAAAGAGATGGTTTGGAGGCGTTGGAAGCTAGTATGCCTGGGCGAAGGACAAATTAAAAAACTTAACACTAACAATCAATGACTCCTCATTTGCTAAAGCGTTCGACTAGACTCTCACCAGTTCTTCAGACTTTCGAACTCCGGGATTAAATGTACACTACGGACTTTTTTCATAGTTACATGCAATAATTCCTTGTCGCCTTACACTCTTCATACATTCATTTTCAACGTTCGACAGTCAGTCCATGACTCTCAGTGCCATCGTCAGTGGCAAAAATACACACAAACGTTCTAAATCTAAATTACATTTATTTTATATATGTTACCGAGTTTAATAAGATTCGCATTTTAGAGCTGGTTAAAACGCTGCTGCAAAGAACCATTTCCCTTACGCGATTTAATCATGCAAGATTTACTGATATTTGCGCGTTCGCATTACGAGATTCAGATTTCACCTTAAACATACATAATATTTAACTGAATACAGCATCTAAAGGTGCCAACATTATGCAAATACGTTTTAATTTGTGCGTCCGTATAATTTCGCCATTTACAAGGACGCACCCTCTTTAAGATTGCCGGGTCTTTGGATTTTAAACCCTAATTTTCGGCGTATTGCGTTGTGGTTTGAGTAAATATTTACCAGGGAAAACTTCATGAAGCAGCATAATGAATGTCTATTACTTTCCGAGAGATAAAGCTAGGAAAATTCAGTTTTGATAAAAACCATGCCGGTTATTTTCCTGCCAAGCTCTTGGGTATTGCTACCGCAACGTCTCATGCGGTACGGTTTCTTTAACCGATTTTCAAACTTTTTTTTTTATTAAAGTTGCCATAACAAGTTTGAGGAACTTTCCGAGATTACGTATATGGGGCATCTGAAAAGTTAAATTTGAAATATGTTTTCTTATAAAGCATCCTACATTCTCCTGCCTTTGGCAAGTTATATTTGCCTGTTCTGTGGGGACAGATGTTTGCTCTCTTGGTAGTTGAACTCATCAAGAATGACATGAGTTTCGCTGAAATAATTGTTCGCTTAAACTTGGATTAATATATAAATTTTTTGATGTCATAATTGTGGCTTTGTGCTTTAGGCCCAAGGGCCTGTGTTCGGTTAGAAGATTCAAGAAATTGACAATATTTGAAAGTGGTCTCTACATCTCTAAGTCTTTCTAGTTAGGTCTCTACGTCTTTAACTGTGATTTATAACGCAATGTTTGCATATAACTATGCGCTTTAGAACGTCTTTAATAGTTCTACAAAGTCCTGCCTCCATCTTCCTGTCTTCCCAGTCGAATTATTGCAGTTTTTCCTAGATTCAACCAAGCACGTTTGCCCAATTCCGTCTTATTTTTTTTTCGGTGCAATATCGGTTTTTAGCTCTTGCTTAAGGAATATTTTTTGTGGCATACGTTGTATGTGTCCGTACCATCTTAGCTGCTTCATTGCGATATCTTCGAGAGCAATCTCTTTAATACCAGCCTTTTTCTTAACGGCTGCATTTCCTATTGTTGTTTCTTGAAGTCGTCACTGGTCATTTCATCCATTGCACCTGCTTCGAGTATTTCTTTCTTGTTCCCTGTTAACTTGGAATTCTCAAATCCTACAATTCCCAAAGTATGCCTTCTACTCTAGTTTCATATGTTTTTTCTTTTGGTCTCGTTCACCGTTCTCTTTTATTGTCGTCCATTCCAGCTGGGAGTGATTTTTTCCTTACAAAATTTCCGACTCCTTATAGACTTGGCAGAAGCTTCGTGTTCCATCATAGTTGAATGTTAGATTACTAGAGTTTTCCACTGTTTAAATATATTTGGTCCTGAATGACAAACTACCGGTTTCTTCGAGTTTTCGTCCATTAAAACTACAGAAACAGATTGTGCACTTGGTCCTCCATCCTGCAAAGTCTTCTTCCTCATTAGCCTGTTCTTATCCAATTCGCGCCTGGACATAGACCTGCTGCTCTTCCATGTTTTTCCACCGCTGTCTGTCATGAGCACCCAAAAATCCTTCGCGCCGGCCTTCTGCTGCATATCATCCCTCCACCTTGCTGGTGGTCCCCTCAAACTCCCTCTAGTTCTTCGCACATTTTTCAACAACCACAAGGGTGTGGTTGTCGAGTCTGACCTGGTTTTCATCTTGACTGACGATTTTAGTCTTTTGGGGGTTCATCGGCAGGCCCACAGACTCTTCCCTCAGCTCTCTCAGCATGAGTCCAAACCCGTCGTCACCGCTCACCAGTACAATATCGTCAGTGAAACGGGGGTGAGACAGGAACTTCCCAATGGGATTAATGCTCTTCTTCTCTCATGTCAGGTTTTTGAAAGAGCGGTGTAGCGCCAGAGTGCACAGTTTTTACTAGATAGTATTGCCTTGTCTAACTCATGTTTTAATGGGAATCCTCTGGTGATTAAGTCTTCGCCGGCTTTAACGCGGAGAGTGGCATGTTCATATATATCTCTGATGAGATTCGAGTATCTTGAGTGAATCCTTGCAGCGTCGATCGCATGTAGAACTGCCCAGAGTTCGAGCTTTCTGCAAGCAGCCTTCTGGTAATCGGCGAACGCCAGATGTAGTGGGACGTTCAGTGCATTTCTCGATCAGCGTTCAAACACCTTGTATGTGTGTAACACTCTTGTGCTATGCACCTTTCTGAATCCAGCCTGCTCTACAGGTTGGTTGAAGTCGAGCTTGTTGGTGATTATTTTGGCAAAGAGTTTGCATAACACAGACAGGAGGCTGATCGACCGGTAATTCTCGATGTTTGTAGAGTCGCCCTTCTTCCCGCCTCTGGAATCCTTCCCTCTTTGAGGCACTTGTTATAGATAGTGAGGAGTGCCTTGCTCAGGGTTTCCCTCCAGTTTTCAGCATCTCAGTCGTCACTGCCCGTGAAGGGTTGCTAGTCCCCCACCGGGCGCCTAGCCAGGTGGCGGATAGGGGAACTAAGATATGGGAGGGACCGAGGAAATCAAATACTCGACAAACAGCGTCTGTTCTCCAGGTTTGGAGCGGCTGAAATGAACACTCGCCAACCTGCATGGCAAGAGTTGCGATTTAAATTGCCAAATCTTCTTATGCCTAAAATATGCTAAGTCTTAAGACGAAGGATATTCCCCAGGGGCGGGTAGAGCAAAAAGCTTAAATTCTCGCACTACAAACGCAGTTTGCCTTATGGAATCTGGGGGGAGCAAAAATGCAGCTGCGATTATCTAGGAGGAGTAGCGCTTATGATCAATAAAACCATAAAAAATATAATCACAGGCTACTAAACAGTCTCTGACCGTGTTATATATATTACCGTAAGTCCCAACAGCAAGTACTCGATGCAAGTGATCCATGTATACGCTCCAACTAGTACATAGGAAGATGAAGAAGTGGAACCACTCTATGAAGACATATCCAGAGCGTTAAAAATGGAGAAGACAAATTTAACATTATTACTGGCGACGTCAATGCCAAAGGAAAGAAATCAAAGGAAGAAAAATCCAAGATGACCCAGAAAACATAGGCAAGTTTGAACTGGGCCAAAGGAACAATAGAGGCGAAATGCTACTCAACTTCCTAGAAAATGCGAACTTGTATTGCCTCAATACCTTCTTTCAGAAACCAAAACAAAGAAGGTGGAATTGGAAGAGTCCAAATGGCGTCATAAAAAACGAAATAAACTACATACTAACAAATGCAAGAACAACATGCAAAAACGTGTCAGTAATAAACAAAATACACACTGGAAGCGACCACCGTCTTGTCAGTGACCATTTTGCCTTCAACGTTGCAACTGTTGTTGAATGTTATATAAGACAGTTGTAAGAACAATCATAGCGTACACTGCAGAGAAAAGATTGGCCACTGGAAGAACTGAAAAATTGATGGAGACCATCGAAGTGGGAATCCACATGCCAATAGAAGGTAAATAGTAAGGGACGCCTGCAAAGTCTCAAATGAGTGGTTAAAACCAAGAAGAACGGAATGGAATATTCACATCAGATCACAAGATCGTCCAAGAAAACGATGGAACTACAGCCTACTCGATACGCTCTGAGGTCATCCTCACAAGCAAAGTTGCCCATGTAAAGAAGAATGTGATGACGCCTTGTAAGTTCTTCTCCACATAGCCCCAGTCTAAAAAAATTCTCTTACTGAACGTTTAAGAAATAACCCTTTATGAAGTAGGGATTCAATAGTCAATGACCATGGAGCATATACATAATTTCGTTGATCAAATGAAAGTTTTTGTTTTTGTTCCTTACATTTTTCTAAACTTTGGTTGTGTTTTCATCGTTTACCATTAGATCCCTCCTTTCATAGTTTTGCATATTGCAAATATCCTACACATCCACCTGAGGATGCAAAGGCGGCGTTGAATATAGGAAATGTTTAACCGTTACACTTGTTTCACTCTAATAAAGTTTCACTTAACTCTAGGTGAATCCCACTACAGGTACATTTTTGTTTCAGGACCTTGGAAACGAAAGCCGCGCGAAACTATCGAAGACAACAAACGCCCATATCTGAACCTGCAAAAATGTGAACTAATGTTTATGGAAACTACATAGTGCGCGCAAATTCGACGGGAAGCCATGTGCCTGTTGGTTTTCTTTAAGTGCTCGTTCGTCTTTTTGACTCTGATATTTACCCTGGGGAAAGGCATCCCAGCTAAGAATCCGAAACAGGACAAAGTTTTGGGTAAGTTAATTATCCCGTTGAGTTGAGCAGCACATATTTGTTATTTTCTGGCGTGAATAGCTAAATGGAATGTAATAAAGAAACACGAACCAAGTTGGTCTTGGGGATCGTAAGTTGGGGAACTTTTCTTCTAGTCTTGTGATTGATGTTGTTGGAAAGGGGTAGTACTCGCATTCAGATGGTGGTTAATTGGTAACAACTTTCATTATGCAACTGTGCTGCTAAATAGTACAAGTGGAAAATAATGGAACGAACAAGTTCTTTACATGTATGTGCTTTGAAATATGCGTGAAATTACATATGGGTGTGAGAAACGGGTTTCTGTATTCGGCAAAATTTAACGGGTTATCCAATTCGAGGTTGGGAAAGTAAAATCTTGCTAATTTTGTTTAGTTGTTATATTGTTTTAGTTGAAGGTTTGCCATTTTGGAATATGGATCATTTAACAGTCGACGAGCGCGTAAAATTATTAAACGTTACTATAAAAGTAGTGATTCTTTCTGCTGTATCAACGTTTACGGCTTTACGAGCAGATTAAGGTCGATATAATCGACCTACAGAGCAAGAATTTCAAACACAGTAGAAAAATTTGAAGAGACTGGATTGGTTACTGATACTGTAAGGCCTGTGCATCATCGCAACATTCGTTCAGCTGAAAATAATGTTGCTGTTGTTGATCAAAGTGTGGAGCAAGACCCAATTTTGTCGATTCCCCTACGTGCTCTACATTTGGGCTTGTCTTACGGCTCATTGTGGCGAATTTTACTATTGGATTTGAAACTCCATCTGTACAAAGTCCAACTAACCGAAGAACTTAAGCCTCAAGACCTTGATCAACGCAGAACATACGCAAATTGGGTGATTGAACAACAAGCTGTTGATGATGATTTTTTGAACCGAATTTTCTTCAGCGATGAGGCTCACTTTTCGCTCGGCGGTTACGTGAATAAACAGAACAGCGAATATGGGGATCTGAAAATACTTAGGTGATCGCAGAAAGGCCTTTGCATCCTGACAAAGTGACCGTATGGTGTGCATTAAAGTCCGGTGGTGTTATTGACCCGTATTATTTCGAAAACTTTCAAGGAAGAGCCATAACAGTCAATTACGAGCGCGATGGACGCATGTTAACCGATCATTTTTGGAGATAAATTGAAGATTATGATCTGGAAGACATGTGATTCCAGCAGGATGGGGCAACGAGTCACACAACACTGGCAGATAGCGCCTTATTGCCAGAAAATTGTCCACTACGCGAAATTTCGAGATTGTGTGATGGCACTTGGCCCGCAAGATCCTGCGACTTAACACCGTTAGATTTCTGTTTGTGGGGCTATGCGAAAGATCGTGTTTACGCCAACAATCTTCAATCACTTCAATAGGATTGAGGCCTGTAGGAGGTCCTGAGGAGGACATTTTAATTATATCGTTTTTCGCGTATAATGGCAAGGTTTTTATATTGAATTAAAATTTTTGTCTCCATATGAATATTTGGGTGTTTTTTTTTACTTTACTTTCCCAAACATAAAATGGATAACCCTGTATAAGGAACACGGAATAATCTACAAAAGTAACGGATAACGTGAAAAGGGGAATATGGTGTCGCGTAAATAATCCTTAATGCTGTTGGAATGGAGCAGTTTTATTCTTGGGGAGCACTTCTTCCTTGCCAAAATTTTTCGGGAAACTAAACAGTCAAAGAAGCAGAAAGAAAAACCGTTTTTTCCGGAAAAGTGTACAAATACCATACCAAATTACCTTTTGTTCGATGCTAGCTTGGATCTTTTTATCATATTTTTTTCCCACAGTAGTCAGTTTAATGCTCCAGTAGCTTTCCTACCTTCACTTTTTCTCCCACTTCATCATTACTATTTCTCAGTGTATTAAAGGTGACGGAATTGGAAGGCTGTAAATATGTCGTCTCTTCTCTTGAGGGCTCGGTCCCGATTTAGTTTAAATACGGTGCGTTAGGAAATTTTTAAGGGTAATTCTACATGCTAAATTATTGGTAGTAGGTCATGTAACAAAAATTCAAAATCTGCATATTTTTCGAGTTAGTTATGTGTAACTGTTGTGTTACTGAGTTTGAAGAACTGTAAGTTCTTCAAAGCTCTTTTCTTTTTAAGTTCTGCTTCATAGCTTAGTTGACTGAAGGTCGCAGGTTCAACTTCTGCCGACAATAGTAAATTTTTCTTATTCCAAAAAAAATATTGTCTGCTTAAGCCGCGAAAAACCCTTTTCATCAAGAATTTTCGGTTCAAAAGATTCAAACTATCAGCCCATGTCCCGACCGAAGTCATAAATCACACTTGGAAACGCCAAAATACGAACCAAGTAACAAACCGAATTGGAAAACCCACTACGACAAAACGCTCCTGAAACAGAAGGCATAGAAACAACCTGGAACATCCTCGAATCAACTATTTTGGCAATCATAAGAAAAACAAGAGAACGTAAGAGAACCAAGACAAAGCAGAAAGGATGGTATGATGCGGAATGCGAACAAATCCAAAATTCAAAAAACACAGTCAGATTGCGCATGTTACAAGATGAAAAGAACGCCCATGTTGAGAAATTTTAAACTTGCAGTGAGGAGGCCAGAAATCGCATAAGAAACAAGAAAAGAGCGGCCCAGAATAGAGTACTACAGGAGTTAGTGGAGGAAGCCAAAAACAACAATAGATTCTTTCAAGAAATATTGCAGATGAGGAAATACTATCAACCCATAACAAGCAGTATACTATAAGGCGATGGGGGCGATATAATAACAGAGACACAGGAGATACTTAAAACATGGAAAAAGCATTTCAGCTAAGGGTGTGAGGGGACCACAACATACCAGACATCAGAAACATCGTAGAGGAGCCAAGCTTCCAAGAAATAATAGTGGCATTGGTTGAGAAGGCAAAAAGATTTAGCAGGTCGGAATTTGGCATTTATTTTCTCAAAAACTGGCACCGTGAGACAGTCACTTTTCGTATATTGTGTGGGGCAAGGCCTGTGCTATAAGTGGACAAAGTTTTGATTTTGCATCATCATTAGCCATTTTTGACAAATTTCCTAAATTTTGTTTGGTTGGAAAAGCTTTTTTTCCAGGGCGGAGTTTGGCATTATTTCCACAAAACCTGGAAAAGTTAGAGAGTGTCACTTTTTCTATAAGTCTGGACAAGTAAGGCAAAGTAAGGACAAATTCTGTTCTATAAGTTGACAAAGTTTCGGTTTTGCGTCATCCATCAGGTAACTTCTGACAAATTTTCAAAATTTTGTTTGGTTGGGAAGGCCCTTTTTGCATGCGGGAGTTTGGCATTAATTTCGACAAATACTGGAAAAGTTAGAGAATCACTTTTTCTGTATGTTGTGTGGGACAAGGTCTGTTCTATAAGTGGTCAGAGGTTCGATTTTGCGTCATCAGACAAATTTATGTCATTTTTCAAAATTTTGTTTGGTTGGGAAGGTTCTTTTTGCAGGCCGTAGTTTGGCATTGATTTCCGCAAAAACTGTAAAAGTTATAGAGTCACTTTTCCTGCGTATTTTGTGGGACAATGTTTGTTCTATTAGTGGACAAAGTGTTTATTTTGCGTCATCATCAGACAATTTTTGACGGATTTTCAAAATGTTGTTTGGTTGGGAATGTTCTTTCAGCAGGCGGGAGTTTGGCAATCACTTTTCCGATAAGTTGTGTGAGACAAGATCGACAAAGTTTCGGTTTTGCGTCATTCATCAGGTAATTTTTAACAAATTTTCAAAATTTTGTTTGGTTGGAAAGTTTCTTGTTGCAGGCCGGAGTTTCGCATTTATTTCTCAAAAACTGGACAAGTTATAGAGTCGCTTTTTCTGCGTGTTGTGTGAGATAATGTTTGTTCTCTTAGAGAACAAAGTGTCGATTTTGCGACATATTCAGACAGTTTTTGAGAAATTTTTAAAATTTTGTTTGGTTCCGAATGTTTTTTTTGCAGGCCGAAGTTTGTTTTTTTTTTCAAAAACTGGAGAAGTTAGAGAGTCACTTTTTCTATAGATGGTGTATAAGAAGGACTGTGCTATAAGTAGACAAAGTGTTGACTTTGCGTCATTTTCAGACAATTTTTGACAAACTTTCAAAATTTTGTTTGGTTGGAAAGGTTCTTTTTGCAGGCCGGAGTTTGGGATTTATTGCCACAAAACCTGGGAAAGTTAGAGAGTGTCACTTTTTCTCTATGTCGTGTGGGAGAAGGTCTGTGCTATAAGTGAACAAAGTTTCCATTTTGCATCATCATCAGACAATTATTTACAAATTTTTTAAATTTTGTTTTAAGGCTGTACAAAAAGCTGTATTTAAACCGATCGTTTGCTCTGGATATGAGACTTCGACCCTTGCGAAACACAATGAGCTTCTTTTAAAATGGTTTGAAACGGAGATCCTGAGAAGAGTGTTTGGCCCCGTAAAGGATCCGAAAACGGAGCAATATCGCGCAAGAACGCACATTGTTCTTACCTTTCCAGTTTCGGCTGCCAGTTTCTGACCCTTTTCTTATCTCATTGAATTCGTTACTCTACCCATTTTTATTTATTTTTTGCTTCTCTTCTATCTTTTAAGTTCTTGTCCTGTGGCTCAGTTAATATCTCTGGGTGAGATTTGCATCAGTAGTTGAAAACTTTCAATTCAGAGTGGAGACTTGGACTCTTCCCTTGGAGCAAATGAAGCAATTTTTACCAATCAAAATAATTTATTATACGAACCAACCTTAGCCAGAATCCTTTATCAGCACCAGGAGTCTACAGAGTTCCGTGCAGCTGTGGAAGAGCATACATCGGCACCACAAAACGAAGCAGAAACACTAGGATGACGGAGCACAAACGAAGTTGCAGATTGGGACAAACGGAAAAATCAGCAGTAGCGGAACACGCACTGCTAGACGGTCACCAAATACGCTTCTACGAAGTTGACATTCTGCACCAATCTGAAAGATACTACCCGAGACTCACCAGAGAGGCCATCGAAATATTTAAACACCAAAACAATT